GTTATTTTGCTTCCAGCTCTTCCATTGACCTGTTTTCCTGCTGCTTAACAACATCGTCTCCACATTTGAGCCAAAAAAGTCACCTTTGGTTTCATCTGAGCCGTTAACCGCCTTCCATATGAGTGCAATATGTCTTAAACTTCAGCTAATTCTGAGTTTAAATTCTCACGCAGAACAACGCTTCTCCCTCATTATCTTTCGAAAAACAGAAACCCTTTAAAGGAAGAAACATTTCAACCAAAAACTGGTCTCAAACGGCTTCTATGACAGATCTTCAGCTTTAGCTAAATCATTATCATAGGCTGTGGAATTAGTCCAGGCCTATGACAGCACTGAAGGTCGTTATGAAACAGCAGCTGGCGGTCCAGGTCACATGATGCAGCAGGCATGGCTGGACTTGCTGTGGAGGAATTCCCTGCAGCAGCGGTGCTCACTGTCATGGAAAAATTCCTTCCAAAGTGTCGGTGAGTCCAGGAGAAAATAGATAAGCTGCATCACAATGATCCAGAATAAATCCAGTTAAACGGCTCCCTTAGATGCAAAGAAGGTTTATGCAAATATAACCTGGTGATGTATTTTTATATGAGGGGATCGAGGTGAACGTGTGTCTGTAAAGCAGCACCAGATGAGGCTGGGAATTAACTGTCTATTAAAATATTCATGCAATCCAAATAGTTAATTGATATGTTGGTCTGTGTGGAAAATGTCAACTCTTCTGCCAGAGATAAAATAATCGGTTTTCTCTTGATAACCTTGGTCTGGAGAACTTGTCCTGTTTTTAATGGTTCCAACTCGTTTATAAAACAGACCCCAAAGAGACAGACCACCAGCCAAATGCAGGTCACTATTGTGATTGGGGGGGGTGTGGATGTTTGTGGGTAGCCAAAAGGAAAACACAGCATGTGCCGCGCTGTTGACCAATCATAAAGCCTAGAGGATGTTTTGCAACTGCCTGGTGTCACAAGAGGAGAAACTCTGAGCGCTGACCCTTCCTTCCTGTGGAGCAGCCATCCACAGGCAGTCCTGGGGGGGGGCGCTGTCCTGCAGGTTTTAGAGGTTTACCTGCTTTAGCACAGCACGTCATTAATG